TAAAATATAGCTGTCTAACGTCCAGTGGCCTCTCTCTTTGTCCTTCAAACTAATAAGTTTTGAGTTTCAGGGCAAAGTAGTAACACTATTCACCTACCACAGTATCGGTCTCAAATTCTCAACGATCATTACGATAACCCCGCATGCCTGGAGGGTGCCTGGATGACCTAAACGACCACAGATCGCAATCGTACTTATCGGCCAATTCAGCTGTCAATCTTATAATGTTCAAATGCTGTCCAGACGTTGTTTTGTATCGTTTCAAGAAACAAGCGCAGGTCGTCAGACAGGGAACATACCTGAGTCATGATCGGAGAAATTAGAAACAGAGATCGAGGGGCGGAGCAGTGGATTAAAGAAAATTTAGAGAAGATAGATGGAGAGATGGGTGTGGGGAGATTATAAAATGTAGGACAGATGGGCGGAGAAAGTGGTGATAAAGAAAGAATGCGGTCATCTTTCACTTTTAGTTTAAGGACCCTTTGGCTTAAAACATAACAGATTATCTCGGCAGTTGGCAGCTTTAAAAGATTATCAAAGGGTGTCAAATGACGGAGTAATCTCGGGTTTAAGTTGAAAGCCACACGGTTGATACAGACTAGCACGACTTGACTGGACACACTTGACACAGCGGGGGTCTAAGAAAGAAATGTGGAGCTGGCATCTCTCCCGACCACATCATGTAAAGCGTTGTCTGGAGTGGACGTGACGTACTGCCCTGGGAAGGAGAGCTATGCGCAGGGGCATCACGTTAGGAACGAGTCGCGAGATTCTCGCCCAGCTGGACGTGAACTTCCGAGACCTCGGGGCGGAAGGGCACAGGGTGACGGACACGTCTGCTGTTGACTTAGCGGTGACTTACGCCTTCCTGACAGCCTGGCATACAGGCGCCTGTTTCCTATCACTCCCTAGTCGTGATCAGAGCGCACAACTCGAGCCAAGAAACACCACAAAGAGAACTCTCTTACAAAAGTAACTTTACACCAAGTGATAATAAAATGTCGGATCAACTTGTACTTCTTCTACGCTTGGTTAATTATCGTGAGGTTAGACTTCTTCTTTGAAGACAGTGGATAATGGATAGAGCTGGTTCTGGACAATGAGTGGGTTTTGGGATCGTAGTAGAAACTTAGTCTTTTGGTGATCTTCTGAATGGTAAAAAGATGGAGAAATTGTGACAACTGCAAAAGAGATAGATAATACTCGGATAGAACGATAGGCAAGTCATACGTATGTTGGTTGTTACAGTTTCATGTTTCTCAGCTTTTAAAACTTCGTATGAGAGTTACTGGTTCTGTTTGAGATTTATTAATATCACCATGGCATAAAGTGTGGTTAAAAAAAAGAAGACTGGAGGGAATGAAACCCGTCATGAGGCCGACCCGAGATCAGTTTCAGATGTGTTACCCAGACCAACTGAGACCAGGGAGAAAAAAGGCCACTGATTGATTTGCACGGAGGTTACCAGTGTTGCCAGCCAGACAAAGATCTATTTTGTCTAACTGATTCACCTAAAGGAACTCCAAGCCGCAAGCACAGCTTGTGGCTATGACACCGGATAGATTTCAGATGTTGGTTTGGACGCGGTGCCAAGATGTGACCGCGCCTCGGCCCGTCCGTCGCGTCTCGGTAACACAAGGAGGAAGAGTGACTAACGGACCGGGCAGACACGGAATGTCCAGGGCTTCTATCAGTCCCACATGTTTGTGTGCAGTTTAGAAGTGGGGAACTAGGACAACAGAGAGAGACAAACGGGTCAGAAATGGAGATAGCCTGGATACCAGACAGTTTCAGCTCCAAGGCCAAGATGGCCTGGTTGCCAGACGCATTTTAGGTTAGAAAGACAATGTCGACTAAGCTGACGAAAATGCCTTTTACCAAGGTTAACCTCCTCACCGTTACTGAGAAAGACATCATTACCAAACAAGTTTTACATCAGGGTGAAATCTGACTAAATCAAGGTAAGCAAATAGATCGTCCTCTGGACTCGGTTGCGATTGCTCCCAAATATTTACCAAAGCGCTAACGCAGTGATGGGATAATACATTCCATCACACTGAGAACTAGAATGCCAGAAGACTTTAGTCTTCAAGTAAAACATGTTTCAAAGAACATCATAAGACAAAACAAGATGATGAAAGAGTTTCAAGTATTGTTTGTATGGATATTTCTGATTTTAAGACAATGGGACCGCCTTCGAAAGAACAGTGAAAGGGACTGGGATTTTCGAAGACGTTTGAAGGTGAAGCCTATCGCTCGAGGCGCGTTGGGGGGAAGACAGTCCAGGTATTCCTGTCTCATCTGGTGTCTAGACATCACACAAGACACGGTACCGGTGTCGTAGGGTCATCGACATGTCACACAGCCAGCGATAGATACAGACAGACAACCACAAGGCTCTACTGGGGTAGTTTGACATCCTCAACCAAAACTTGTGACAACCAAGAGCGGATTGCTTACCACAGCCAAAAGGGGGCGGGGACAGATAGAGATTGACCAATCACAAGCGCCGTTTTACGAGATGTGGGCGTAGCGTTACAACTACCAGGTCTAGGCCTAGTGGTTTGGCTAATTAGGTAATTTGGATATTCACGAGGACATCCCCTGGTAGAATAAACATTATAAAAAATGAAAGAGGGATAAACCATTCCATCTAAAGGGAGGAGGGGAAGTTTAAATTGCAATGTCAAAACCAACATAGTCTAATACTCGACAGAATCTAACAGAATACCATAATTAAGTTCCTACAGAAGTAAGAAAAAGAAATGCTTATTCACCCACTAACAAATGAGATCGCCCATTCCACTGCGGACTAATTGGGTGAAACCAATGTTCAGGGGTGTGATAATTATTAATAGGCTTAGAATCACTTGACCATCATACTTTTGCTGGGGTCACACGATTAATTTGAACAGAGCTTTAAAGGAGGGGGGGTCTCCCGGCGACTTTGAGACAACAGTAGATGATGCAATCTTCTTGTTACGAGCAAATTAAGATTAGCAATCATCAATATACAATCGTACGTATAGGTTACTCAAGCTTTGAGTTATCACAAATTATATCAACGTTTAGTGACAATATCAACGACGAAGTCTTTTCGTAACTTTGCAGACAAAAAAAGTCATCAGTTTTCGAACAGGGCCAGTTCCTAAGAGCCCGGCCTGTCTTCATGCCAAAGTACATTTGTCTGAATTAGGGGCACATTCTACCTAATCTGGAGCACAGCATGTGGCCGGGCCAATATTTAGGAAAGAGCTAGGGTTTCAGCAAGTCTGGGCGGCGGTGTCGGTCTGATACCCCGCCGAGAGAACACCCCACGACACCGTACCGAGTTACAAGGAGCCAAGAAAAAAAGCTAAGCTACGCCAGGCCACAAGGCCACAACTTCTGTCGCGCAGGAAAGGTCTTCAGGATGAAAAGGAATTTGGGATCTTTCTACACATGTTGCCGGGGTCTTTCCTCCCGTCTGGATCGAATCAGTCCCATGTGGTTACCATATTCCTAGGTCGTAGGCCTTTCAAGGGTCACTTATGAGACCTACACAAGAATTTGAGGAATTAACCAAGATGAAATGCCAGGTTACCATATGGCGAGCGGGTTTCCGTGCTGGGAAGGGGCCAAGAAAAATCAAAGTTAGAGAGCCAGGGGGATCCACTGATGCCAAGCACTCATTAAACACCGAAAAGAACCTCATTTTTCTTAGCGAATCCTTTCTAAACCGCACAACTAAGACTGTTCACTACTATCACTCCGCGAGGATTGTTTACCGATTTGCTTTCAACAACTTTCACCGCGTCTTAAGACCCTCTCATCCTTATCTGTGAGATATTTTCCGTCTTATCACCGTTTATGTAGGTTACAGGAGCTTACGCCGTTCACCACGCGAACTAGGGTTTCTTCTAAGTCGTGGGAAAAGCGAGAGAGAAGGTAAAGAATCTGAATCAGCATGTGGGACACCAAGAAAAACACGCAACCAACAGTGAGGAAGAAAATGTCTAACAGCTGTGACTAGAAGACGGTGCACTATGGAGAGGACTAAAGCTAAAAATGACACAAAGACAGGTAGACTTTATCCTAAACAAGACGTTACTAAAGCAATGCTGTCTGTAGCTAAAAATGACAAATGCCAACCGGAAACTTTACTATTAAGGGTCTACGAGAGTTCGACTTTCAGGACTCTAGAACTAGAGTGAGGCGGCACTAGCTAAGAAGCGAGAGCGCACAGAACCTAAGCTTCAAACGATTCACAATCCTGACTTTACACAGCTAGTCTAGAAATGAGGAATTTTCAAACAAACTGGGATAAAGCGGGGCTGGTAGGAAATTCTCCCTGCCGCCCCCGCAGTCAGGGTAGACGGCCGGGGGAAGTGGCTAGGACAACGGGGCACTTCAGCCACATCGAGCCGCTGAGCTACGGGGATTACTCGCGGCAGAAAGCACCGTACAAAACAAATTATTCCACGGCTAAAATCAGGGTACGAAGTTCAACCACTCGATTACTCTTTCATACCGTTTTGGTACGTAAGAAATAAGACACAATCGTGGTAGAGTTTTTTTTCCATCTGTGAAACTTGCCAAGGTAAATTTGAGCAAAAAGCGTGGACGGAAGCCAGACGGGGGATCCCTTTTTGTTTTCTGACACTCTCGTTCCAAAAAAGCCGGAAAGTTTCTTTCATTTTGGCACGGGCCTAGTCCGAGAGAACTTTGCGGTTTGAAGGCGCGCGGGACGTACGGAGTTTGTTGGCTGCTAGCGGGTCTAGGGCTAACGGTGGGGACCGGACGGTGCTGTCTTGGAATGGGAGCAAGAGAGATCGGCTTACGGTACAAGGAAACTATCAGCCCGCCCACATCACCCGAGAGTATGCGCCCGGCCTTACTAACGGGACTAAATCTGACACCAACATCAACACAGCTATCTGGACCAGTCGTTAGCACATTCTTACAACGGCTTGCCTGGACGGTTTTAAAGTAACGTTACGAGAAACAAGAAGGGTACTCACCATCTCCGTCGTAACCGTCGAACTGGGCGTGCGTTCTCAGCACTAGTAATAATACCGGCAAAAAATATCTACAACCAAAGCTATACATGACTGCGGCCTTGCAAGCGCACAGACGTGTAAAATCTAGGTGGTCGTATTATCTGCTGCGTATCCGCATATGTGGGGACCCCGAAAGAAGTTAGGAGCACACGATCCGGTCTGAGCGCTTCCCAGCGCCTGACTGAAGCTCCGTCTGCACCGGGCTGCTTTTTGAGGGGGTACGATTGTCTGTCCCACGTCAGGAATGTAGCCGGGAAGCTGATACTGTTTGGCCACTGCCCCCTGATTGATCACTGCTGTGTGTTTCTTTATTAAGGCCCTCCAATCGCACACATGGAAGCGGCGTGCACTTCCAGACTGCGGGGAGCGTTCCAACATATTGTTGTTTCTTCTCAACAAAGTTAGTTTTCGGTATACCCCTGTCAAGTTAAATCAGGCAAACCTGAGGCATTTGTACGCTGTTAAGTATATATTATACTTACACATATTGTCTGTTACAATAAACGTCTTACGCTGTCCGATGATTTGGGCATGGAAACTAACGCCAATCATCATTAGGAACGCAATCAAACGGTTTGGTTAAACATGAAGTTATGACGCGATCCCGAAGGTTCCAAACGCCTTTCCAGACACCGCGGAAGGAAAGCTTCGCACACCTTCAAGACATTATGGATGCAAATGAGGTGGGCTGGGACAGAGGACAGATCAAGTTTCCTCCTCAGACATTGGTCTGCTCCTTGCGAAGGGTCTTGCAAACTACTTGCGCAACAGCCAAGTTCAAGAAAAAAAGCCCCCCCCCCTCCAACACGGGTCATGGTTGTTAGCGCTTCGTCACGTTTAGAAGACGGCACAGGAGCGAGGTTTGCTCAAGCGTTTGCACCGAGGAAATATTTATTCCTGTCCCCATCTGTACAAACAAGTCAGTCTGGTGCGAAACCACAGAACTATTGTAGTATGTGTCGGACCAGAATTTCAGGGTTTCGTCAACGCAACTGTAGGTAGCCTGGATATATACCAGCCTTTTATAAAGCGTTCGTACGCTCCTTTACTGACAGGGAAGCGACTAATGGAGCGTACGACAGCTGAAATGGCTGGCACCGAGGCTATCGATCTGGCTAGTGGGGGTACGGTAGCCTCTACCAGGCTTCAGAAGTTGCTGGAAACAGTAGAATTAGTCAAAATAGGCAGATAACATACCAGGGTTTTCTTCCACTGAAGGAGTACAGTTTGCCGCACACAGGGCATGTTTTCCGTCTATCTAGTTGATTTCTACTCTTCCCAGCCGCTTACCCAGCCTGGTAGAGGCTAGTGGTTTTGTCTTTTATTATGATGACAGCCTAATTTCTCACGGGTTGTGTGCTATATACGGTCGTTTCCCTGTGTAAATGGTCACTACAAGTCTGCTCAAGAGTCCTTTCAGGGTTGAAAAAACAGCTGAAATTGGCCAAATCGGGTGAATGACTACACTGGCGCCAGAAAAAAGTCCAATCGTCCAACTGCAACTATTTTTAGCCCCCAAAACAGTCTGTGTCAGTGTACCGTGGTTTCAACAAGCTCAGCTAAAATAGAAGAATACTAGTGCGTTTATTATATCACAATTGTTTACAAACATTTCTTGGCGTCTTCCACAAACACAATCTAAACTTGTTTATGCAATAAACATTTCTGATAAACAACGGTGCATCTCTCCCTTTGTGCTTTGTTTAACACGGGTAAACGTATTTTTTCACAGATCTTGCAGACTAACTTTGTAAGTGTTATTTGGAGACCCCTATGTAAACCACTGATGACAAACTACTTGAGTAACCATGAAATTTATGCGAGGAAGCCCCCCCCCCCAACTCTCACTAAAAACCTCTGTGTCAAGTGAGTTGACTACACACTAGCCCTCAGTATACACAAGAGATATACATATTGATAACCAAATTCATACACTGCACCTTTGTTCTTGCCGCTTTTACTGACTGTCATATGATTGTTGAACTTCATCAATCATATTAGTAAAAAAAGTACTTATTATATATATTTTATGCGCTCTATCTTCTATCGGCTTCAGAAATATAGACAGGAGAACTTCAACAAATCGCCTTTTTAAACAAAGCCATCCTCAATCTTATACATGTACCATCTACCTATTATTCAGTAGACAAACTTACCAAGTATGACATGAAACTATGCAACTAGCCTATATACTACATATACGTCTCTATCAATACTGCCAATTAGGTAAACCATTAAGATGTTATCTGAGAATGAAAAGTGTTGTGATGTTGTTGTGCTAAAGGGTCATGAGGCGAAAATTAGGATCTTGTAGAGTTGCAACATAAGACCAGCGGTGCTCATTTTTGCCCCCGACTGAAAATACAGTAACTGTGTGTGCCTCAAGCTATTCCACAGTAGACTGCGGTTGATGTGTGTGCACCGTTCTGGGGATAATGATGACAGAATGACAGTAGTCTGGGGAAGGTAAATATCACATTGTCGCGACTTACACAGGACAATGGACGCCCCCTCCCATCTCTGCCGCTCCCGACTCCAGTATTTCCCCTTTACCAAGAACCAGAAGTTTCAAACGTCTGCTTTTTAATATCAAGGGGAAGTCATAAACCCAGACGGCTTAAGTCATACCATGTGTATATTATAAATCTCTATTATAAAGCAGATATCTGGCACATGTTTTTGGACTCTTTCTGGTGATAGTTCTGTTAAGATGGTCTACTGAAAAACGCGATAGCAGTTGTTATAAATACACCCCCTCTGACCATAATGGCATGAGCCAATGTCGGATTCAGGACTCCCTTTCCTTTTTACATGTTTATCAAAGTATCATATGGCCAGGCCGTGGAAATACAATATTTAAAGATGATAGACCTATAAGCTCTGCCTGTCGACTTCAGGAAATGTAGCAGCTGTAATACCATGGCCAGGTTCTTGACTTTGTTCCAGAAATACTGTACAGGCTTAAGTAGGTCGCAGGGGATGATCACTAGTATTTCACATCGCTAGAACAACATGGGTGCTTAGGTCTAATTAACCTCGTATTACAGGCGCACGAGGAAGACAAAACATGCATAACGACGATTTGTTGGCCCCTTCGACAATGTACTGCATTTCTAGGCACTGTCAACTTCCGTTGAAGTTCTGGGTGCGTCTTGCTTTGCAGACATCTGTTAGCCAATCTCCTTTTTAGATCCCTTTTGTCTGAAGTGAAGGCTGAATGGTCTTGAATCAGATTGAATGTGTTTGAAATACGTAGTTTGAAAAGGTGGCAGAAACAAATGCAACTCAACTGTGTTTGTGAAGCAAAAAGTCTACATTCTATTTGAAGCGACCGAGGGTTGGGGGGGGGGTGTACAAGTTATGAGAAATTCAATTTGACAGTTTGAGAATGTGTACATGCGTTATCTTCTACACAGAATGAATTGTGGGTTGAATTGTTTCGGATAATTATCCGGAGCCAAGAACAACAGAAATGAAGTAAAATATCGCTAATATGCTGTGGCCTACAGCCCAGTTGGGTCTGCATTCCAAGACGGGGATGCCAAGACAAACGCGGCGGGGACTTGGCAGTACTTCCCGCCAGCCACAAGACGTTTGGAGGACTTCCAACTTTCTACAAGGGCCTGCTGCTGGTGGGGTCAAAGGTCACGTCACCACCACTGTCACCGCAAGATACATGGCTCATACTGTAGAGTCATTTTATTTTCGTGTCAAAATAATGAGGTTTTGCACAGTGTTTTATATTTGCAGTTAAATTACAGTACTGTACACACACAAACAGGTATAAATCCGTGGTGTGGTAAATTGGCGGTAGAGAGGCACTGCAGAAATATAAAAGAAACACATATCAATTGTTTCAACATCTACGGTAAACAGAAGGACGTAGGAGGTACAAGACAGGGAATCCAGCATATCTGGAGTCTACGATACCTTCTAAAACATTCTTGGAGAAACCACGTCTTTTCAAAGTGTTTTCGTACTGAGATTTTCTAACGGTACGATATCCCATCCCCTCCCTCCCCATATAACAACAACTCCAAATGTTTATTAATTAAGTATTGGAAAAGTTTTCAAACTGGGCAGAGAAACAAATTTGAAGAGTCCACGTACTGACAGACTGACGGAGACTAAAAGAATAACAATAGCCATACAAGTTTTCAGAGAGACACAAATTATAATAGTAATACAAGTTTTCTAAAAGAACTTACTATTCTCTGTGGGGGGTATGTAGGGGGCCCATTTTCCTTTTAGATTCTTTATTTGCCTTTTTTCATCCATTTCACCCTTTGGCCTTTTGGTATAGAAGAGTGAATTGTTGTTAAGATGGAAATCAGTTCATCCATTTATTCATTGTCAGTCCCAAGACGCTTCTAAACAAACCCGTCCTTTTCAGCTCCTGTGTTAGCCCGGCTCGCAAGTATGCCGTCGTTATGACCGCTGTGCCCGGACACAGTCGTCAGTTTGAGATATAAAAGGCTACGCAAACAGAGGACGGCCGCGGAGGACCGAATTTCTCCGGCTTCCCCCGTCACCATGGAAACTGGCTGCTGACAGGGCAAGTTTTAAGGAGGCCGAATCACTCAGGAATGCTCGCTGTGACGTCTCAACGACAGGGACTTACTTCTTACCTCGTTCTTGTTCTTGTGCAAATGTCATCGCACAAGTATGTCTCGAAAAAATGCAGCGCTACTAGAGGCGTACTTGATATCCAAATGATGGACAATGCCGAAAAAAGGCACATGCATTCTGTTTAATTGTGTCTTTCTTTTCTTTAGTCCGACTCTGGCTGATTCAAGCCACAAGACAAACACAAACTTCACATTCAAGTGCTCTCCACAGTTTCAAACTCCCAGACCGCTGAGGACGGCCGAATGGCCAGCGTTGGCCACATGCTTCAGAGAGGACAGAAAAAACGTCACCCGTGTCTTCCTAAGTTTATTTAGACAACAAATCCCACATCCTTTGTGGGACATGTATCTGTCTAAAAACCCTCACTTGTATGGTCCAGTGTTTAACCATAGGAAACCGCGCCTGCAATCTTAATCTAGTGCTAGACATGGCGTAGCTATGGACTAAATGACGCGGGAAAACTTTAAAAGACGCCTTTAAAGGTCTTTAGTATTTTGCTTGAGGGCAGGCTAGACTCCATCCTTCTCTGGTTAACTAGTTGGAAACAGAAGGGTAGGGTACGGAACTCAGACAAGCGGCGGGGAGGGACACACCGCTCTGCGGAGGTGAG